CCGATTAGAGACGAGATGGCCATGCTGGTGCCCGGTCGCATTGGCTGGCCGAGGCCTGGCAGGTCGCGGTTGGCAGCAAAGTTGGGGGGGTACTGCGAGCGCGGGGGCTGCGAGGCATGAGCATGTTGTTGTTGTTGTTGCTGCTGCTGCTGCTGCTGGGTGGGCGACGATGGAGGCGGCATTTGCGGGCGCGCAAAGGATGGAGGCGGTGGGTATTCGTGCGAGGGGCCTGTTTTTTCTCTCGCACCGTTAGCTCGCCAGGGCGCGGGGGGGAGGAGAGTCGGTCGGGGGGAGGGCGCACCGTAGGGATCGGGAGGACTGGCGCCGTTCAGCGAGCGTCTGCGCGCAGCGTCGAAGGCATACGGGGCGGGGGCTGGAGGGTTGGTCGAGGTGGTCATGGCTGGCCGAGGGCCGGGCTGGACAAGATGGGTTTCATACGGCACCGGTCGCGCTAGAGACAAGGATCAGCACAAGCTCGGACGGAGAGGCGCGACTGGTCAGAACAGGGCTAGAGGCCCGCCGATCCTGCATTAGCCAGGAGCCACGGATGCGGAGTGCGCCCATGAAATTCGCCAAACCCATGCCCTCTCCACCGACAAAAGGCGTGCTCCGTGTGGGCAGCGCAGAGGGCGCTGGGCCGTACAAGCACGCCTAGCCGCCCGCCGCCCGCCCGCCTGCACTCGCTCGTTGCACCACATCAACGGCAACAAGCGGTGAAGTGCTTCTTTGCAATTGACGTGTCATGCACCACGTTCATGCAGGCAATGGCCGAGCATATCGAGTCGCTGGCCGGCTTGTCGACGCCCCTCCATGTCGCCGCCCGCTGTTACCATGCATGGCCGTCTCTTGCACCTCGGCCTGCCTGCGCCTGCAGTCGGCGTCTCCCAGCTGCAGCGGCCACGGTCTCTGCGCCAGCATGCGCGCGCCTGAACAAATGGGTGTGAAGCGGTTGTCCGTACCTGTGTTGGGCCAGGCTGTCTGCCCTTGTCCTTGCCCGTGCCCCTCGGCTGCCTGACCTTGGGGCGCATTGTTTCCTCCCGCCAGTCCCTGGCTGGCGTGCCTGGCGTGCTGCGGGCGCGGTGGGTAGAAGGGGTCGCGGCGAGCAGTCGAGTTTGCATCGGCGGCGTGGGCAGCGTGCGAGGGCTGCTGCGAGGGCTGCTGCGAGGGCGAGGCGGGGGGATAGGCCGGGTAGGCCTGGTGGCTCTGGGCGTGGCGGCTCATGGGGCGGTCTGGTGGGCGTTGGAAGGGCGGGGGGCGGTTCATCGCAGGCTGGGGCTCATGGGGAGGCGGCAGGCAGGCGGGCTCGTATGCGGAGACGGAGCGACTGCTGTGGCTCCTGCTCGTCGTGGGCGGCGTGGGCGGCGTGTGGGCAGCGATGCAGCGGTGCAGCGATGCAGTCGGGGGCGGTGGGGGGTGGTGTGGCGAGGCCGACGGGGCAGAGTCGCGGG